TTTGTACATTGACTTATGTTTATGTTTTAGGAGGTTGCAGGGGAATTCATTTGAAGGCACAATACCACAATCATTTTCCAATTTAACTGCTCTGAACGACTTGTAAGTGTTTGTTTTGTTCGCTTTGCGAAATTGTTTGCTAAAGATCGTTTTCTTTAAATGATTTTATCGCTTATGATATGATGCGCATAGGAGAATAAGTGATCTAACTAACGGAAGCTCTTCGTTGGAATTTCTTAGAGGCTTGACATCTCTATCCACATTGTATGTAAGAATTCGTTGAATAATTTCACAAAAGATCGACATTTTGAACCTAAAAGAGTTCTTTATGTTATCGCTATTTTTGCTTTCACTGTGCAGAGAGTTGCGAAACAATAATATAACGGGTTCATTACCTTCGTTTTTCGCTTCAATTCAGAGCTTAATATTCTTGTAAGTATCATACATTCGACAAATTAAATTAAGTAAAAAAGAAAAAAAAAACGAACAGACATGCGTACAATAATGGCGAATTCGTGTTATAATTTGTCTCAGGGATTTGAGCTTCAACAATTTGGCGGGAAGAGTTCCCGAGTCCCTTCTCAACCATAGTTCTCTAACCCACTTGTAATAAATTACACTCCGAGTTAATCACTCTCCCGAGTTGTTTATTGTTTTATTCTGTTTTAATCGATTTATTTATTTCTTTATTTATTATTATTTTTTTTTCCGAATTTCAGGTTTCTTGGTAACAACCGGTTAACCGGCACGCTTCCACCACAAAGAAGCCCATTTCTTAGGACTATGTGAGTGTCCATTCCTATTTCTCGTACTTTTTAAGTCTCACAATGTATATATATGTAAAGATCTTTTTCGAATTTCTTTGCAGAGATTTGTCGTACAATGAATTATCCGGGAGCTTCCCGCCATGGGTCAACGAACAGAACCTACAAGTGTATGTATAAATCAAACGACCCCAAATTCTTGAAAATCGACGTTCGATTTCGAACAAATAACCATGCACCTCATTGTTATTTTATGTATTTATTCATTTTTCTTTATATACATACTGGCTGTCATATTAACTTCAAAACATTTCTTTTGGTGTAGCAATTTGGTTTCAAACAACTTCATCATCAATGCTTCTAACTTAAGGTGCACACTTTATGAACCACATTATTTTATATTTTTAAATTTTTTTCCTTGTAATTTGCATGTAACTTAACCATTTCGTTCTCCGGTTTTCTAGAACTTTGCCTGCCGGATTAAATTGTCTTCAGAGGAGTTTTCCGTGCAGCCGAGGGAACCCTACTTGTAATGATGCTTTTCATTTGTTTATTTTCGTTTATTTATTTAGCTAATTCAATAATCACACGGCAGATTCGAGCTTTGCCATTAACAGCGGTGGGCCTCCGATTCGGTCTTCGGATCAGGTCCTGTTCGAGAGTGACAACGAGACTCTTGGCCCAGCAACTTATTATGTGGCGGCCTCACGGAGGTGGGCCGTGAGCAATGTGGGCCTGCCAGCCGACAGCGACAGCCCACAATACCAATACTATTCCCAGTCCCAGTTCACAAACACTCTCGACACGGACCTCTTCCGGGACGCCCGGATTTCGGCCGGGTCGTTGAGGTACTACGGTCTGGGCCTCGAAAACGGAAACTACACCGTGAGGCTACGGTTTGCCGAGATAGCTATTTTGGGTGCTCGGATTTGGTGGAGCCTCGGGAGGCGCGTTTTCAACATTTATATCCAGGTGCCTGTTGTGTTGAGTACTCCATTACATTTTTCAAGTTTTTTTAGTCATTTTCATAGTTAGTATTTGTTTATATTGATTTTGGTAAACCTAGCTGATAAGAGCTAATAACTGAATTTCGAGCTTAATAGCTGATAACTTATGACTTATTGTTGAAAGTTAGCTTATATGATAAAAATATTTTGGTAAAATTAGCTGATAAGCTAGCTGAAATAAAACATTTCAATGGGCTTATTTGAAAAACTAGCCAAGGAAGCTTATAAGATAAGCTCGAGTTTTTATAAAAAAAATCTCATCCTACTAAACCAAATTTATTTGAATACAAGAAACCTATAAGCTAATCAAATAAGCTATAAGCTAGCTTATATGCTTACTAAACACAACCATTAGCTCCAATGTTATTCATTCGTGGTTTGGTGACTCCATTTTTTTTTCTCTTTACGTAATGCAGGGGAATCTGGTGCAAAGGAATTTCGACATACGAAGAGAAGCCGGTGGAATCGACTTACGAGCCGTCACACGAGATTACAGGGTTAGTGTAACGGAAAATTACCTCGAAGTTCATTTGTTTTGGGCCGGGAAAGGGACTTGTTGTGTGCCTGCTCGAGGGTCGTACGGGCCATTGGTTTCGGCTGTAAGTGCAACACCAGGCAAGTAAAAAAAATAATAATGTTCATAAATCGGTCTACTCTAAAAAATTTTATTGCCTTTTTTCTTTTGTGTCTGTGTGTGTGTGTTTAAGTAGAGTCGTCTAATATAGATAACTTGTTATTTGTGCAGATTTTGTGCCGAGCGTGTCAAATAATCCTCCACGTGGGGACACGAACACGAGCAGGAAGATGGGTATGATTTCCGGGATTGTTGTTGGGGTTGCGATTGTAATTTTGGTAGCTCTTAGCTTGTGTTATGTGTATCTGAAGAGGAAAAGACAACGAAACTTTGAGGATCAAGGTAAGAAGCGGACGGGTTTTAACCAAGTTCGACTATTACAAACAAACAAGCACTTTTTTACGTACAAACAAGAAAAATTAAATGCCTGAAATATTTGCAGAGTTGTTGGGGATAGAAACACGACCTTACACGTTCGGTTATGCCGAACTCAGAGCCGCAACCGACGGCTTCAGTCCTTGTAATAAACTCGGCGAGGGAGGCTTCGGACCCGTTTACAAGGTAATATCGTTATTTTCCCTCGACCGAGAAAATTAATTATGTTCAACAAATGTTTCGTATTTCCTTTTTTAAGTAAATAAATAAAATTCTGAATTTTGTATTTCAATAAATAATATTAGGGAACTCTAGGGGACGGGAGAGTGGTTGCTGTGAAGCAGCTGTCGATGGCATCACATCAAGGAAAGTGCGAGTTTGTGGCTGAGATTGCGACTATATCCTCCGTGCAACATCGTAACTTAGTTAAATTGTACGGTTGTTGCATAGAGGGAGATAAACGGTTGCTCGTTTATGAGTACCTCGTGAACAAGAGTCTGGATCAGCTCTTATTTGGAGACAGTAAATTCAATAATATCTCCTCAACTTTTGTTTTTTGGAAAGTTATACTAGCTAGCTATAAGAAAACTCAATTCAATTGATATATTGTTCTAACTAATAGGGAGCAAAAGTCCATATCTCGACTGGGCAACACGTTACGAAATATGCTTGGGGGTGGCGAGGGGACTTGCCTATCTTCACGAGGAGTCTCGACTGCGAATTGTTCATCGGGACGTGAAGGCTAGCAATATTCTGCTTGATTCGGACCTTGTCCCGAAAATCTCGGATTTTGGGTTAGCCAAATTGTACGATGACAAGAAGAGCCATATAAGCACTCGAGTTGCTGGCACAATGTAAGATTATTCGTATAACGTTTGTTCCCAATATTCTATCTTTTTTTTTCGGGTTCCGTAAATTGATTTTTATTAGTGTAGCGGGTATCTAGCGCCGGAATATGCCGTGCTCGGACTTCTAACCGAAAAGGCTGATATATTCAGCTTTGGAGTTGTGGCTCTCGAGATCGTGAGTGGAAGACCGAATTCTGACTCGAGTTTGGAAGATGATATGATATATCTTCTCGAGTGGGTACGTACGCCTTTTCGAACCTTTGCTTCGCTCACAAGTTATCCTTGGGAAACTAATGATAAAAAAAAAACCGTGATATCATGTATAGTGCTGTTAAATTAAATGAGTTTGGCTCGGCTCGTTAAGACTCGAGTTCGGCTCGGCTCGTTTGATAAATGAGCCGAACTCGAGCTCATTTAAAGCTCGTTTCCTTAACGCGCCGAGCTTGGCTCGTCTTGATAAGGCTCGAAAAGAGAATTTTTATATAACTTTCTATATATCGACTCGTTAAAACTCGAGATTGGCTCGAACTCGGCTTGTTATTAGTGATAAACGAGCCGAGCTCGAGCTCGAGCTCGAGCTTGAGCTCGATTTCAGGCTCGTTTATTTAACAAGCCGAGCTCGGCTCATTAAGGGCTCGAGCTCGGAGCTCAGCTCGGCTTGTTTATCAAACATTTGTATTTTTGAAGGCTTGGAACCTTCATGAGGACAACAAACAACTCAACCTAGCCGACCCGACTCTGCATGAATACAATCCGCACCAAGTGAGGAGGATAATCGACATTGCCCTTCTGTGCACGCAGGCGAGCCCCGCCCTACGGCCACCAATGTCGCGCGTGGTGGCCATGCTGTCGGGTGACATGGAGGTGCCAGCTGTCACCACAAGGCCGGGTTACCTAACCGGCTGGAAATTCAACGACACCACCACTTTTGTTTCGGGAGTCGATATCTTGGTCCCGAATTCACACGTCGGTCAGGTCAATAACGGTGCAAGTACATCAGGTTAATTAAAATATTTCTTTTTTTGGTTGTGGGGGGGTTCCTCTGGCTTGTTCTTTTTGTTGTTTGTGTAGTTTGTGAGGTGAACTACAATGATATGATTTTTCTCTGTTTTTCTTCTTTGAACTAAAATGTTTGTTTTCTGGTAAATTAAGGATTTGTTGAGGTTTTTACATAAAAAAGAGTTCCCCATATATGAGGAGTGCATGGTGTACATATATTAGAAGATGTAATAAACGAGCGAGGCTGTCATTTTCACAAATGCTAATAAAAATTTGATTGCTATTTTTACTAAAATTTGATTAATAACTCAGGCTAACCTAACACTACTATAAAGTACCAACTTACGTTAATACTAATCTGAAACGCAACAAACTAATTGTTAAAAGGGACGAAAAAAGGCTGGCACTGCAAATCCTTGAAAATGGTGGGTTGTTGGTTATATAAAGGCTGCAAATCCTTCATTTCTCCCAACCAGCTGACCACAACTTCTCAACCAACCAATGCACCACTTTATTATATTTAAAATCAAAACCCGATCAATATCCTCGAATCTATCTCCATCCAAGTTCATATCCTCACATTAGATATTCCTCAAATCTCTCTCCATGGCCCTCTCGCCGCCGGGTGCGCGCTCTCAACGAGGCCGTGGAAAAACACAATGGCGAAATCAGTTGGAATCAATTCCTCCACTTGGCCCTAATTTCTTTGGCGTGTTTCTTAAGCGAAATCAGTTGGAATCAATTCCTCCACTTGGCCCTAATTTCTTTGGCGTGTTTCTTTAAGAAACACGCCAAAGAAATTAGGGCCAATTGGAGGAATTGGTTCCAGCTTATTTCGTCAATGTGTTTCTCTACGGCCTCGTCGAGAGCGGGAAGGCGGCGGCGAAGGGCCATGGAGATAGATTTGAGGAATATTTAATGTGAGGATATGAACTTGGA